TGGTGTCCCCCGGTCCTTTGCCCTCCCCAAAAGGTGACGCCAAAACAGCGGCGCGGAGTTTCGTGTCCTAATGGCACCGCTGAAACGGAGGATCCCTGCCCTCCCTGGCCCCCAAACCTCACTGGATGGAGAGCAGCCGGTCTATAGCATCCCCCATCCGCCCCGGCCACACTGCAGGGCTGGGGGAAGAGGAAATCTCTGCTAAAAAGAAATTTCACTCAATCCTTGCTAAAAAGAAAGAAAAAGAGCCTGGATTCGGCTTTCAGCCCTTCGGCAGTCGGGAGCCAGCAGCAAGTGGGGACCGCAGGGACCCCCCCCAATTCCCCGGAGCATCAGGCAGGCATGGGAGCTGCAGTAGAGCCCGGCTGCAGCAGGAACAAGCCGTAATTAACTTCTCCCAAGCATCAATTCGGGCAGAGCTGTCTGTCCGTGAGACAAACAGGAGCCGGAGTGAATGCATAGGCCGGGCCGAACTGCAAAAGCAGCCCCAGAGCCGGGGGTCCCGCTGGGTCCCTCCGTGCCGCTGGAGCTCTGCAGGAGAAATTGGAAGTTGTGCGTCCGAAGGTGATGCTCGTACCTCAGCTGGGCACCTCCTGGGAGCAGGTCACTGGCATTCGGGGAGGACGAAGAGAGGGGAAAAACCCCACAGGATTCGCTTGCAGGAGCAGCAGCGCAGCGCTGTCGGTGCAGCACCAGAGCCAGAGCCCTGCTCCCGGCTCTGGACAGCGAGGTTTGGGGACAGCCAGCAGGATTTGGGGACGGCAAAGCACAGAGCCTGGTGCCCAGGGCTGCTTAAAGGGACACTCACAATCTCAGACCCAAAAAAAAAAAATCATCTGCCTTATTTGGTGAGGAATGGGCTGCTGGTTCTGAAATACATTTTTTTTGTTTGTTTGTTTTAAATGGAGCGCTCCTTTGCTGGGAAAATCAAAGAGATGGGGATGGGGAGGGGGGTGGGACAGGGAGAAAATAGCCCCTGCTGTTTGCATGCCTTGGGATTAGGGCAGGGCACAGCCAAGCCAGCCCAAGCAGCCCCGTGCCCTGTGTCCTTCTTAAAAAGGCAATCGGCCACGGCACGGATGGAACATCCAGGGAGGACAACAAACCCACACAAACCACACTGCTGGGCATGCCAAAGGCCACCACAAACGTGTCTGCAGGACACCTCAGCTCTCCCGAGGAGCCCTGTCCCTGACCCACACCATGGAAATGGGCCAGAGGATGAAGGACAATGCAGATCCCAGAGCAGGCTGAGCGAGCAGGGAGCAGTGGGGCTGGATCCTGGGGAGCAGCTGGAGCTCAGTGGGACAGAGCAGGGCCTGCCAGCACTGGGGTCCCACTGCCTGCAGAGACAGGCCCTCACCAGCCCCTTATCCAGGGGAAAGGAAGCTTCTGTATTTATTTTGTGCAGGGAAAAGCTGCTTTTTCACTGCCCCCGTCACAGGCTCCCACCAACCCCAGGGCTGTGCTGGAAAGATAAACACAGCTCTTTTCCTGAGCATAACAAAGTCCCTCCATAAAACTGGGTTAGGTTTTTTTCATCCTTTGGTACTGTTTTGTCCTCCCAAGCATGTGCAGGTTATCCCACCCAAAATTCAGCCTGAACATCTCCAGTGCAGAGCCAGTGGCTGCTGAACCCACATGGAGATTGGGATGGAAACAGCATGTAAGGATTCAAAGAGCATCCCCAAATATTTCATTCCTCCCTGGATAGCCAGGACTTGGACTGTAGAAAGGAGGCACTGCTGCTGGGGTGTTAGGCCTTGTTAAAGTTTAGGGCTGGACAAGCTCCAGTGATCTCAGGCCTAGGGGGGTTAAAAAGGCTTGGGAAAAGGGATGTACCACTGATAGTGGGCACAAAGAATACAGAATTTACAGGCCACAAGGACACTTGGCAGCACTCCCAAGATAAGGAAGAAACTAATGGAAGCAACTCAGCAACTGTGCTGAATCAGCTGTGCCTGGGTAAGAGGCAATTCTGGCAGGGGAGATTCACAACCAGCAACACAAGACACCACCAGCTCAAAACAAGAGTTCTGTCTCTGTCCCCCCTCTCTTCTCTTTCTTTCTCTCTCTCTACCTCACACTGATTGCTAATAAAATCTGTATTATTTACTTCAGCATTTTTCTTGTTTGCACCTCAGTTAGGCAGAGGTACCTCTCTCTAATCAGATGCTAACACAGGGCTGGATCTCATCCTTAGGGAGAGCTGAGCACCCCTTGGGCAGCATCCCCAGACCCCACCAAGCTGCTGCTGCTGCCTCTAAACCCATCCTGCAACCCAGGGGAAAAACTTTCACTTGTGGTGCCTGGGATCTTGGCTGGGATCTGCCTCTGTTTCAGCTGAGGAAAGAGGTTGGCTTTTCCTGGCTGAGAAATAAATCAACAAATAACTCCGTGGGCCCCAGGAAAGAAGAAATGCTTTGAATGCACCCAGGAGGGACTAAGACCAGGCTGGTCCTTCCTAATGTAATTGCTCTGCAGACTCTGCAGGGAATCTTCCTGTGTGCAGTGGTGCTAAGGTATATCAAAGCCAGATCCTCAAAGGCACTTGCCAGAGCATCTTTTAGAATAATAGGCTTAAATCCCAAGTTTTTGGAGCTGTGTGTGCAGTTCAGCCTCCAACCCCTTGGGAAAGCTCCAGTTAGGACAGGCCCTGGTACAAAATGGGGATATTTTGGAAAATGAATGCCACTGAGATGCCAAGGGCTGCAGCACCCTCCAGTTTGTGGGTGTTTTCCCTACATCTCCATGACTCTGTGCTCCCCAGAGGAGCAGGCTGGGGGCACAGGGAGAGAGGGGCTGCCTCGTTAGCTGCACAGAGCCTCTACCTGTGCTGCTAATTAGTGCCATGAGGAGCCAGCACTGTCCTCCCCAGTGAGAAGCAGCTAATAAACTAATTAGGATAATGGGTAAGTGAGCAGATAAAAGTCTTAAGCTATTTGCTAGCAGGTCATGGGTGGATGTGGAGCCTTTCCCCCAGCCAGGGATGCACCTGCATGACCCCAGTGCTCCCAGTCCTGCTGCTCCAGCCATGCCCTGTGTGGGGAAGGGCCTGCAGGTATTGCCCTGGGGATGGTGTGAGCATTACTCTGCTTTTCTCTGGGGGAGCTGCAAGCCTGAAGTCCCTTTACTTTTGCACAGATGTTGTGTTTTCCAGGCCAGTGCCTCAGCACCGTGGGCAGGCAGCTGCAGCTCAGCAAGGGGACCTCTGCCAGACTGAGCCTGGTGACAAGGGTGACCCTGCTGGAGGGCACTCATGCTCAATACCCCCCTCACCAGGAGGTTTGGGTCCTTTTGGGGTGCTGGGTCACAGGCTGCATCACTCACACTCATTCCTGGCAGTTTGCAGATGAGGTGGGAAAGGGTGGTCCCAGCCCCACAGCAGCACAGGGTGAGACTGGTGACAGAGCCCCTGGTGCCACCAAGAGAAAAGCAGCAGGAGAGAGACTTTACCAGGTAAGACAGCCATGGGCTGTGTACCCAGCAGAGCAGGCAGCCTGACTGTGGGTGTAGCTTCTGCCTTTGAAGAGCTTGGTCAGCTCTGGAAAATGCCCAAAGGTTAAAAAATGGGGAATTTCCACAGCCCCACCCAGGAGTGCTGAAACAAATGAGGTGATAACGAAAGCATAGCGGGCTTGTTTCCACATCCAGAGCATGGGATCCTACCAGGAGCTGCTCCTCCATGGAAATGACCCAAGGGTGCAGCCCCAGGCCAGCTCAGAGCTGCTCCCAGGCTGGGCAGCCCAGACCCTGCTGCTTCCCTGCCTGGGTGGATCCCTGCACTCCCACACTCCCAGCCCACCCAGGATCCAGCCCATGGGAGCAAAGTTCCTTTCTGCATCTGAGGGGAGGATTTGAGGCTGTGGATGTGACCTTGGGCTGGCAGGGAGCTGCCACATGGCCCTGCACCCCTCACTGGGCTCTTGCCCTTCCCTCCATTCAGCTGAAGCTGTTTTTAGATCACTGCTCTCCCAGAGTGCTTCACATCTCTCTGATCCTGGCTGCAGGAAGAGCTGGAGAGAAGAGCAGAGCATCCACCTCCATCCATCTCCTTGGCCCAGGCCCTGGCAGGAGCCAGCTCTGTGTCTGTGCAATGAGCTGGGAGCACCTGTGGCACCCCCTCCCTGCGCAGCCAGACTGGACATGGTGATCATGGAGCAGCCCTGTGTCCTCAAGTACCAGGTGAAATCCCAATTGAAAATTGCAGCTGGGCAGGCTCCAGCTGCCTCTGCTCTCCTCTAGAGTGCCCAGGGCTGGATTCCCTCCCTGTGTTCCATGGTTCTTCCCAGCTTTGTTAGGATGGGTGGGAGAGGAGCTGTGTTCCTCTGGTGTGGGACAGGTTGGGCCATTTGTTCTGCTGCTGGTGGGGCAGAAACTTGGCTCTTCTTTGCCAAGCACACAGAGTAATCCTGCATCACCAACACTTTCGTTCTGACAGTAACAGCCCTTCCTTGCAGGTGTGAGGAGCTGCTGGGGCCCATCCCAGCAAAACCCTGTGGCTGTCACCTCTGGGGCCTGGTCAGCAGGTGTGGCCCAGCAAGCACATTGTGCAAGTAAAAATCTGATTTTAAACCTTTCTGCCCTCATCCTCACAGGACTTTTATCTGAGGGTGAGAGGAGAAAAGCTTCATTACTGCTGCTGGTTCCTAATGATGCACTTATCTCCTCCTGCCAGCCCTGGCCTCCATCAGGCACCGCTGCAGGGGCTCTCCTGCCCTACATTGCTCTCTCTTCATTAGCTTTTCATTTTCCTTAATTGCTCCTGCAGATTTGCCCGGGGTGTCAGGCCTGGGGGATGCCCAGAGGGAGATGGGGGAGCAGGCCAGAGCCAGGCACGAAGCTGGGGATGCCATGGTGCTTGTTCACTGATGGAAAAGAGCAGGAAACACTGATGCTCTTGCCTGCTGCTCCCCAGCCATGGGCAGGGTTTGTTATTAACCCCTAAATTGGCTGGGGTGAATATTTGAGGTGACAGGTACCAAACTGAGGCAGGAGAGTGCTGAGGCCTGCCTCAGCCCCAGAGCCTTACAGCTGAAACACGACCACCGTCCCACTTGCACCACCCCTGCACCCACACCATGTATGAAAGCCTCTGCTGTGGGAGGGCTCCAGGGGGTGCACCCCAACCCCTCTCCCTGCCCCACGCCCAGCTCTGACCTGCAGTGGTGGTGTCCACATCCCTGGCCGCCATCTCCTCCACCTCGGCCCTCCTGCGCAGCTCCAGCCGGCGCGAGAAGCCCTCCCTGGGCTTCCAGAGGTCCTGGATGAGCAGGGGCTTCTCGTGGTCGCCCAGCACCCTGAGCCCCTCAGTCTGCCACTGCCTCTCGGGGCCCTGGAAGCGGCCGATGACGTCGCAGAGCGCGTACTGCGCGGCGCTGAGCTGGCTCAGCCCATAGCGCTCCAGGGCCTCCTTCACCAGCTCCCGCGCGCCCGAGCTGCCCGTCACCAGCACGCTCTTGTAGTTGGTGCCAGCGCAGATGTTGCCCCCAAAGATTTTCAGGATGCCAGGGGCCGAGAGCTGGGTGGAGAGCTCGGCCGGGTCGTCCTCGGCGGGCGCAGAGCCGCGGTCCTTGTAGCTCAGGGTGCGGTAGAGCACCTGCGAGAAGAGGCGGCTCTGGCGCTTCAGGCGGCTCTTGGATGGCGGAGCCATGCTGGAGGACGGCCCATAAAACATGGTGGGAGAGGTCGTCATGAAGCACAGCTGGGCAGGGAACAGCAAGAAGGGCAAGGTGAGTGGTTTGGAGGATGGATGTGCAGCAGGTGGCCACAGAGGAGCCGCTGTCACCTCCCAGGTGGCAGATCAAGGGAGAGCCATTTCCCCTGTGTAACCCAAAACACCAGTGGAAAAGCTCAGCCAAGCTCCTTGGAACCAGCACAGTTACCCCTGGATGGATTTTTGTCCCTGAAAACACCACCTGGAGAGGCCCCATAGTTCTCCATCTTACCCAGAGGAGGAGAGCAGAGCCCAGCAGGACTTGGCGGGGCCCATCCTGGTCAGCAGCCAAGGCATCAGGAGTTACTTTCACTAACGAGTTTATGGAGCAATCCCATTTTTTAGAGGTGAAACGGAAAGCTCAAGTGCAAATTCCCTCATTCTGAGGTCGCTGCTAAATGCTTTTGCTCAGCGAGAGGCACAGGGTGAAAATGGGCTCTAATTAGCCTTTCTAAAAATGTCCTGACTCTGGCAAATATCTTGGCTGTTGCTTGTTTGTGGAGGACATTCAGGCCAAGGGTGGCATCACTGACAAGGCTGCTCTTGTCACCTTAGCCCAGGTCAGCCCCGAGTGGGCAGTGACTGGAGGAGAGGTGGCCAAGGCCATGTGGCAGCTCCCAGTGCTCCTCAATCCCCTGGAGTGGACCAGGAACCACAGATAGTGATCTGGATTTAGGTGGGTAGCACTGTTGCCTGATGTCACTGTCCCCATCCCGGTTGCACCAGCACCTGGTGCTTGTGTGGCGCTGATGACCCACAGCCACGTTGTGACCTGGGACTTGTCAGGAAAGACAATCTGAGCATTCCTGCTTGGGACAGAACTAGGCTCTCCCTCTCCTCCAGATCTATAACATGCAGGGACCCCATGCACGCACAGAGGAACCCCAAAATGTCCCATGAACAGCTGGATGCAGCAGTTGGGTGACCCAGGTGTCCCTGGCTGGGCACAGGTGAGGTGCCAGCAGCTTCCACAGCTGCAGCCCCAAGTGGCTCAGGCACAGCCGTGCCTCAGAGCAGACTCAGCACTATCAGCAGAGTGATGCTGGGCCTGGACAGCCTCCAAGCCACCATCTAATTCAGGAGAAAAGAGCAGAGAAAAAAGTCCCTGCTGCTAATGGAAGAGGTCACCTTCTAACCCAGAAAGCAGCTCCCAGCCGTGCGTGGAGGGCTGCTGCAGGATCCCCATCCCACAGCCAGAGACAGGGAATGCTGCAGATGGGAAACTGAGGCACCAGGTGCTAAGGATGTGGCTGGGAGCTGTGTAATCCTGCTGCACTCCAAGTCACCCCTTTTTCCTCTTCCTCAGCCACACCAGGACTGTGAAAATGCTGGGGTTTGTCCTCGTCCCTAGGCTGCAGGTTCCAAAACTGACCTCTGGAGTGCTGAAGGGCAGGAGTCCTGACAGGACAGCAGGGCTGAGGACCTTGTGTTTTATATTGCCCCAGAACTTCACCCCAACTCACTCAGATAAGGCTGCTCCTGCTCAGGTAAGGCTCAGGTAAGGCTGGTCCGGCTCCCACCTTGCAAGTGGGGAAACTGAGGCAGGGATGGGGTTGGGGTTCTGCTCCTCCCTCTGCAGCTGAGCCCAGAGCTGCTGGGGACATCCCTGGGGACATCCCTTGATGTCTGCTGTGTGACACCTCCTGGCAGCCCCGACCTGGGGAGCAGGTCAGGGCACTGGCACAGTCAAGCTCAGGAACAGCTGCCCCAGGCTCCAGCACGGCCCTGCCAGCCCTCATTAACATTGGCCACGAGGAAAACTGCCCCAGAGTCCCTGCAGGACCTTGTCATCAAGGATGCAAAAGACAAGGCTTTGTCATCAAATCACTGGTTTCATGGGTTTTATCTCCACCCTGAACTGCCCCCAGCACAAAGGGAAACCTTTCACCATTTGCTGGTGGCAAAATCATTCCTCCAAGCCCACATCACAGACACACCATCCTTGCTCCTTGCAGGTCCCTGCCTGGTTTTGAATGTGTTATTTATAGCTCAGCTGTATTTTTACTCTTTCTATAAAATGCAGCTCCTACAGAGTTCAGGGTCAAAGACTTTTCACCAGGAAAAAAATCAGAAGCCTGGATCAGGAGGAGGTGTCACTCCAATTTTCAGCATCTAGAGCAGCACAGGTGTGATTTCACCAGGCACCAGCCTGGGTGACCTGAGAAATCACATTCTCCTGGAGACAGCAGGACACACCTGGTCTTAATCCCCCTGACGATCTAATGGGCAGGGTAAGATGATAATGAAAGGGGCTCCTCCCACATCCGTGAGCTCGGGCACGATAGCAATGGGCATCTCCACCAGGAGGAAATCTCTGGTACGAGGGGAAATCTCTGGTGAGGAGGAAATCTCTGATGCGAGGGGAAATCCCTGGTACAGAAGGAAATCCCTGGTATGTGCCATCCCGCTGAGCCCCACTGCAGGAGCAGGGATGCTTCAGCTGCCCCAGCTGCTCAGGGACAAGGCAGTAAGAGTGTCCCACCTTACAGCAGCTCAGTGGGACAGGTGCTCCTGCACATCTCCAGCCAACTGAGCCCTTTTCTCACTTCACAGTTCCCTGGAAGGACACAGCATGATCCAGACTTTCCCAGGAGTCCCTTTCTCCAGCCTCAGTGACGTTCTCTCTCTAACGGGTACACACGGATTAGTAAAAACCCTGGGATTGCCTCCCAGCAAGATCCTTCACCTCTTCACAGCAGTGCCTGGCCACACCAAAAGCAGCTATTTTCCACAGCCAGCTCTGCCTGAGCTCTGCAGGGCTGTGACAAATGCCCACGGTGTTCACGTGGCCACCACGTGTCCTTCCAGCACCACAAGTGACTCTGCAGCCACCACCGGGGACTTTCCTGCAGGCCTGAGGTTCCTGCTCCCAGAACGGGTGAGCAGCTCCTCCCCAGGGCCCCCAGCCAGCGCTCAGACCCTACCTTGCCATTCTTCTCACGTGCCTTTTTCCCTTCCATTCATCCTCCTTCTCAAAACAATCTTTGCCCTTCGTTGTGCACCATCCTGGGCAGGCGTCTGTCACGTTTCTGAGAGAGGAAGAGGAGGAGAGGTCCTGGGCTGCTCATGGACGTCAGCTGCTCGCAGTGTGGTGGGTTTGGAAGGCTCAGAGGTTCTGCAACACGGTCCTGATGTTTGCATGTGGGATTCTGAACCACATCTATAATCAACAGCACCTACCCCATCGCATGGGAGACCAGGAGAGAACAGCAGGAGGAAGGAAAGGAGAGGAAGCAGGAGGAAGGAAAGGAAAGGAGAAGGGGAGGAGATGGAACCAGCAACAGCCCTGTGACCTTTACCTCTTTCTCCTAAGCACACGTGTCCCCAAGGATGCCAGGCTGGGGATGCTCTGACTCACAGGTGGACAAGCAAGCCCTGGAGCAGCTCCTTCCCCCAGCAGCCCCAGCATGCTGGGATGCTCACTGAGATCTGAATCTCAGTCTGGTTTGCTGGACATCAAGAAGAGCCACCAAGCACTGTCCCCACCAAGCACTTCCCACCACACATCTGCAAGAACACAACCACTGGTGGCCAGAGACAAAGCTGAAAGAGGCACCTGCCAAGTGCCACCAGGGATGTCACGGGTGTTCCTCAGGGAGAGCCATCAGGGCACAAGAGCTACTCCTTTCCCTGGCTCCACCATGATTAAAGATAAATGCATCATCCTCTAATTAAATCACCTAATCAGGGCCTTGGTGTGGTTCCATCCAGTCCCTCTTGCTGGCCCAGCCTTGGGGCTGTGGGAGAAACTCTGCAGGTCGTGATGCAAAAGGCAAAGAGGTGCTGCCCCCACCTCTGCTGCTCCACGGTTCTTCCAGTGATTTACTCCTCCTGGTAAAATATTTATGCCTTATTTCCAGTGTGTCTGCCCTGCCCTCAGCTGCCAGATATTGATTCTTGCCATCTTTTCTCTGCTCAGTTAATGAGATTTTGGCTAACAGGTATTTTCTCCTCTGTGAGAGTATTTAGATGCTGTTGCCAAGCCTTCCTCTTTCCTCTTTGATTTGATTATGGGTGGACTCACTGGATGGCCCCCTCCTCTCCACCTGTAAGACCCTTTCTGCAGGCCCTTAGTCCGTTCCCCTCAGACTCCATTTTGCTGAGAAGCAAAATTTAGATTTGGCTGCCATAAACCCAAATTTGGTTCTGACCAGAAGTGCAAATAACTGCTATTTATTTTGTTCTCCTGAGCCAAATTTCACATTATCCTGAAAATTTTCAATTCTCCAGTGCAGAAATGAGGACAGACAGACAGCCACCCCCCCCAAGCTGCTGCCCCTGTGCTGCCTCTCCCAGCATCTGCAGGCAGCTCCAGCTGAACATTTACCATCCAGATTAGGGACAGGAAACCACGTACAGCCACAGTTATTATTTTTGGGTGTAAAAGATTTCCATGTTCCATTCTGCTCCAGTCAGGATGCCTTTCTCTCACTCAGCTTACCACCCGGATTTGTGCAAACCATTAACACTCAGCTGCCCTGGGTCAGATCCAGGTTTTTCCAGAAATCATTTCCATCTCCTTTCTTCCAGATTAGTGATAAAAACACCAGGTCCATGTTACCAGCTAGCAGTGCCCAGCAGTGATAATCTCCCTGATAACTGCCTTGGAAATGGATCACGTTTATTTAATACCAGCTTTCTTGACACTGTGCAATGTCAGCTCTAAATACTGGACTGGATTGACTTTTTTAATACTGGAAAGTGCAGATTTTTACAAGAATATCACCTCCCATAACTCAACTGCTTCTCAGAAGTGTATTACAGCCAGAGAGTCACCTCTCATGCTGGAGTCTGAAATAATTTCTTGCCAGGAGTTATTTTCCATACAGCCACGTTGGATGGCAGGAATTTATTCCTGGTGTTCAAGTCTTTAATCAATTGGAGCCCGAGCCAGGTTTCTCCCTCTTCTCCCTGGGGGGATGCTATCAAGCCAATCAACCTGTAGCTACCAGGTCATCTCATTCCCTTTTGGGAAGAGCAACAACACCATTGAAACACTTTTTAATCATCTGGAATTTCCCCAGGGGCTCATCCCAGCACAGGGATGGGTGGTGAGATTTCAGCTATAACCACTCCAGAATAGGAACCAGAAAAGCTGTTTCCTCAGATCTTTGTTGGAAATTTTTCTTTTATTTTCTTTTTCTGCCTTTTTAAATGGAAACCACTGGAGTGGCAGCCCCGGACTAACGGCAGTGACCGCAGCCTGGATGCTGCAAGTGGAGGGAGAGGCCGCTCCGGAGCTGCAATGTGGAACAAATTAGAACTCGGAGAGCAAAGGAAATGAGAACGCCCTGGTGGCTTTGACGTGCTCTCCTTGGCTCCAAATCCTGCCCCGTGCTCCAAATCCTGCTCCTCTGCGGATCCGAGGCAGAGCCCGAACCCCTCGGCTCTGACCGGAGCCCCCATTCCCTTCCTTCTGCTCCAGAGCCCGGCCTTGCCCTGTGCGGGTTTATCCACCTAATCTAGGGGCAGAGCGGAGGCTGATGATGTCCGTGGCTCTCTCGGTGCCGTCTTTAGCCGGATCAGGGTGGGTAAACTCCTTACCACGTTATTATTAGCAGCAGGCACCCTGCAGCAGCCCGGACCCCACAGCCCTGGGACTGCTGAAACAGGATGGAAAACAGCCCCAAAAACACCAACAGCCTGTCCCAAAGGCACCTATCACTCCACAAACATTGTTACAGTCTGATTCCACAAGGACAACAGGAGTCCTTTTAGCAGGTTTTCTTTTCTTGGTGGTTTTTTTTTTTTTTTTCCCTGTAATTATTTTGCAGGGTCTTTTGAGCCGCCAACGTGCCCCAGCTCTCCGGTAATGCAGCAGTGCAAATGCCAGCCCTCTGCCCGGGCAGCTCTATTCACACACCCCAGAAACCCTGCACAAAAAGCATTTGCTTTCTGCTGCCTCCCGAGCTCCACAGTCTCCGTAGGCTGCCTAATTATAAGACCTTAGCAATAATATTTCTTTTTTTTCCAGCGATAATTAACTGGTCCTGGAGAGAGCTGAAAATAAGCACTTCCCAAGCAAGTAGCAAACTCCCCTGAGTTTTCCCTGCTAAAGTTACAACTCAGCATGAAACTGCTCCAGCCTCACAGGGACACAGATCATCTCAGCACCTCCCTGCCATGGCCTGGGATGCCACCACAGTCGCAGGCAGCTGAATACAGGTGACACGGAGGGTGTGGGGTAGCAGTGGGATCCCAAGGGTCGTGCAAAGGGACAAGGATCCCGAGGGGCATGGAATGGGGAGAGGGATCCCAAGGGGCATGGAATGGGGAGAGGGATCACAGGGAGTGTGCAGGGGGCAGAGGAAGCCCAAGGGGCAGGCGAGTGGGAGAAGGATCTGGGGAGACAGATCCTGAGGGATACGGAATGGGGACACGCATTCCAAAGAGAGTTCAGTGGGGGAAAGCAGCCCAAGGGGGGTGGAACGGGGATGATCCCAAGGGATGTGCGGTGGGACACGGACCCGCAGGGACAGGCGGTGCGGGGAGGGCTCCCCGTGTGCCCGGCCATGGGACAGGGACCCTCGGGCGCTGCGGCTCCCGGCACAGCCCTCCCGCCGGCTCCGCGGGCAGCGCGGGTCTCCCACGGCAACCGGACAAGCCCCGCGCCCCTCCCGCCTCCGCTTCCCAGGGGACGAGAAACAAACGCTGCTGCCCGGTACAGCGGGGACGCCACAGCGGGGATCTGCCCCCCGAGACAGGGGTGTCCCTGGGGTAGGGTCCGCCTTCGCCCCCCGCGCCCCCCGGCCCCGGTACTCACCGTCGGAGCGGGGCAGGCTCGGCGCGACCCCGGCGGCGGCAGCGCCCGGAGCCGCCCGGAGCCGCCGGGGCTGCGCGGGGAGCTCGGGCCGGTCCCGTCCCGCCGGGGCGGAGCGAGCGCGGCTGCGGCGCCCCCCCGCGGCCGCCACCGGAACTGCCCGCAGCCACCGGGAACGGAGCGTCGGGATCGGGGAGAGGGTCGGGATAAGGGGAAGGTCGGGATTTGGGAGAGGCTCTGTACTGGGAAAGAGTCGGGATAGGGGGAAGATCGGGATCTGGGGAAGGGTCGGGATAAGGGAGAAGGTCAGGATTTGGGGAAGGGTCTGTACTGGGAAGGGTCGGGATTTCGGGAAGGGTTGGGATGAGGGAAGGGTTGGCCCTGGGAAAGGGTCAGGTTATGGGGTGGGTCGGCACTGGGAAAGGCTCGGGATGTGGGAAGGGCCTGGATGTGGGAAGGGGGTTCTGCCCCACTCTCTGAGAGCCCACCTGGGCCCTGCTTGCAGTGCTGGGTCTGCAGCACAGACAGACGTGGAACTGTTAGAGTGAGCTGCAAAGATGCTCCAAGGGCTGGAGAACCTCTCCTATGGAGCCAGACTAGGAATTGATCAGGATGGAGAAGAGAAGACTCCAGGGACACCTTAGAGCCCCTTCCAGTGCCTAAAGAGGTTCCAAAAAAGATGGGGAGAGACTTTGGCCATGGAGTGACAGGACAAGGGGAAATGGATTCCCACTGACAGAGGGCAGGGTTAGATGGAATATTGGAATAAATAATATTGGAATAAATTCTTGCCTGTGAGGGTGGTGAGGCCCTGGCACAAGTTGCCCAGAGAAACTGTGCTTGCCACATCCCTGGAAGTGTTCCAGGCTGGGTTGGAAGTGGCTTTGATCAACTTGGTCTAGAGGAAGGTGTCCTTGCCCAGGGCAGGGGTTGGAACAAGATGAGCTTTGAGGTTCCTTCCAACCCAGGCACTTCTAGGATTCTGTGAAATTGCCAGGAGCAAGCCAGGCCGGGCTCTGCAGGCAGCAGCACCTCAGCTGCACTGGCTGGCTTTGGCCAAACAGGTTTTATCAAAGCAGCTCCAGAGCTGACCTGGAGACTGCTGGGGGTGCACACAGGCTGGTGCCTGGCAGGGGTGAGGGATGGATCATTACTGCACTGGGCACTTGTTCAGGGTGAGATGGTCACTGTTGTTCTGCTTCCCTCAGTGAAAATGTCTCCTTTTGGTTAAGGGTGTTTCCCTGTCCAGGGGTGCTCTGGGTGGGAAAGCAATTCTGCCACCCAGACACCCTCTGGGAATGACAGCACAAAGCAAAGGAGTCAGGAGTGCTCCCAGTCCAGCCCAATTGCCAGCAGCACAGCAATGATGGGCGAGGTGGAAGTTGTGGGTCAGGTTTGGGGGTGAGTTCAGCTACCCCTGGAAGCAGGGAACCCTCCCTGGCTCTCTGGGAAAGCTGCTGAGCCTGGGGGAATGCAGGCCTGTGTAATTACGGCACAGAGGGCAGACAGGGCTTGTGCAGAGCCCAGGCCAGGCAGCTCCAGCATGGGGCAAATTCCCCCTCTCCAAGAGGAGCCAGTGCCCACAGGAGAGGCTGGTGGGGTCAGCAGGGAGCTGTGCTACCCCCTGCCCTGTCTGCCACAGATTTTCTCCTCTGGGGCTCTGGCATCCTTCATCCCCTCAGTGCCAGCCCTGGGGCTCCACTCCTCAGCCTCTGACTCAGCCACGAGGAGGGGAAAGGGCTGGAGCAGGCTGTGCTGAAGCTGCCGTGGTGAGATGCTGCTGATGAGCCTTCAGCCAGCACCTCAGGGCACAGGGGCACTGCCAGCAAACTCACTGATTGATTGATTGGTTTGTTTGTTTGTTTGTTCAGCAGCTGGCAGTGCCATCCCTGCACCAAGGTGAGTCAGTGCTCAGCACCCCAGTGCCATCCCTGCAGGTGGCTGAGTGGCTCCTCTCCTCACCAGGCAGCAAAGCCACGTGGGATGAGTCAGACAGAAAATGAGTTTATTTCCAGATGCTGCAGGGGAACTAATTTTGATTTAACAAGCAGGCAAGAGTGAGGTATCTTGAGTTTTTATTTCGATCCTACTCCACAGGAAACAACATCCACTAGAGTTATCTTCCTTACATTTGTTTGTATTTGACCCAATACCATGTTAAATATAAAATACTGATTGAACAAGGATGGATGGTGAAAAACATGAGATGATAAAAAGATCCCTCGAGCCCTCCTCCAGAAACATCCTGAATGTTACGAGTCATTTAAAATTAGTATAAAACTGGAGGACAATCCAATCACTTGCTCTGTGCCCCCTATGCTTTGCAAGGGGAGGATTAAGGAGCAAGAGGAGAGGGGGAGCCTCTCACTTACAGAGAAGCCCACTCTGCAAATCCAGGCTGAAGGCAGGGTGGCAATGTTCCCAACAGAGCCTGGACATCCACTCCTGCTGGGTGTCCTGCCCTGGATTTTCAGCAGGAGACTGAGATGAAGCAGCCCCAGAAAGGTCCTCTGGCACCTCTCTGTGCCTCAGGAGCCCTCGGGACACATTTAGGGCCCAAAGACCACAACTGGCAAAAGTTTCTGAGATAAATCCCTTGGGGTGAAGCCCAGGGTGGTATCCCTGGGCATCCTCAGCCCTGCCAGGGACATTGGCCTGGGGCTGGCAGTGCTGTTTGCCTGCTCTGACCCCAGGGTGGCTCCCCATGGTGTTTGGGGACACGGGGAGCAGAGCTGAAGCTGTCACTGTGCCCTGGGGTGGCTCTGGGGACCTGCTCCCCCAGAGCCAGGGAATATTGAAGCAGGACTTTGCGCAGCTCTGGCTGCTCTCCAGGTGCTTCACGGGGTCCTCACACGAGCCCTGTGAGGTAGGTCAGGGTCTGCACCCCCATTTTACAGATGGGGAAACTGAGGCACAGAGAAGGGTAATGACTAGCCAGACAGGAAATATGGCATCTCCCATCCTGGGAACTCTGCATCCTGCTTTTCCAACCCTGGGTGTGCTCCATCAGCTGCTGTTTGCTCACAGCTCATCCTTCTCCACCTGCAGCAGGTGGCAGGGCCAGGGCTGGGCAGAGCAGCAGCAGAGTCTGGGCTCACACCAGCTTGTTCCTCCCCATCTCTAAGGCCACCCATCACCCCCAGGCAGCCCCAGCACAAAGGCTGCTTTGGGCACAGAGCCCCAGCAGCTCCACACCAGGCTGGGGTGCCAGGGACAGCTCCCAGAGCCTTCTACAGGAAGCTCCTGCCTGTGGAAGTGAAAACCCAGCAGATATTTTTGCCAGCCTGACAACCACAGGCACCACATCAGGAGGGGGTGAGCATCCAGATGTTTCCTCTTTGGTGATGAGCTGCACAGTGGCACAGCCCTGGAGAGCCAGGCCTGGGGTGCCACAGGCTGGGGGCCCTCAGCTCTGCTCAGCTCCCTGCAATGCTGCTGGAGAAACAGGAGATGTGGGGTGGTGGCCACAAATCTCCTTCACTTGCCACATGGTGCCAGAGGCTGCAGCTGTGATTAGTCAAAGGCCAAAAAGAGGTGATGGGCAACTGATTCCTTTGGGGCTGGTGGGGAAGATGCAGGCACAGCCCAGCACACACCAGCACACCCTCCTGGCTCCAGCAGCTCTGCCAGGGTGTTTGGGGAGCAGGATCTGGTGTGGTTTTGCCATTCTGCTGCTCCCAGCAGCTGGATGGATGTTCCATGGTTAGGCATCTGAAAACTGAGCATCACTGGGATGTCTCCATCGCAGCTCACACCCAGGCTTCGTGTGGATGCATTCCTGCCCTGCAGCAATCCTGGGAATGCCAGGAATCTTTCCAAAAGTGGAATTAAATCTGATGAGCAATAGGTTCATCAGCAAATGGGAGCAGAGAAGGCAGGTAGCCCCGTGATCCCAGTCCAGGGAGGATCTCTTCCCTCCCTCCAGGAGAAAGGGACTCCCCTGGGCTCACCCCAGCCAGGGAGGTGCCAGGAGCTGGATCCCAGCTCTGC